AATATTATTCCTCCAATAATCACCAATACAATAACCCACCAAACTGGTGAACTCTTACACTCTTTTCCATCAACATCAACTGAATACCAGAAATCACATTTATTACAGACATTATTTTCAGCACTAACACAATGAGAGAATTGTGAATAATAAATACACTTATAATCGCTATCTAAAATAAAATCTTTATTACATAGATTACATCTTCCATTTTGTTTATTACAACTCCTACAGTTATTAGTTCTTTGATCACAAGATAAACATGTGTAACCATCTAAGAAATATCCATCTTCACATACCTCACATCCAAATCTATTTGTAGTCTCGCAATTAGAAAGTAAACTTACTGAAAGACATTGTTGTTTTTTTATGTCAAAATAATAATTGTCTATGCACTTTAAACAACTGCCTGTATTTGCATTTGTACATGAAACACAATTATCAATACATTTTGTACATCCTTTTCCATCTCTATAATACCCATCATTACAAATAGCACATTGTTGAGAACCATCACTGGTTACCATCACCTTACAATTTGTAGTCTCAGAAGCAACACATGACTCACCTTGAAGAACATATCCAGACTGACATTCATAACATGAGTTTTGTGAATTAACACATTTAGAACAAGTGGGGTTACATGGCAAACACTTGGTTTGATTATTGTAGTATCCGTCAATACAACTTCGACATACACTTTGTGTATATAAGGAACAAAGCTCATCACTTTGTTCTGAGCATATTGTGTTCCCATCAGAGACTGTTAATAAATAATATTTTTCTGCTGATTCTGAGAACAAACACTCAACACATGTTCCATCATTATTAGTTTTTAAACAATGCTCTGTTCCACTAACACAATCCTTTCCATTAAAATATTTAGAAGAATCATCACAGCTTAAACATGTAGATTTTGATACTTGCTTACATGAAACTGACTCTTTAGAAACACACGTTCCACTAGTTGTCATGATATAATTATCATCACAACTACTACAAACAACGTTATTTGAATCAGAATAACAAGTCGTACAATGTAATCCACCAGAATTACAGGAAATACATGTAGAACTTTCTGATAAATAATATCCTGGTGAACATTGGATAATTCCCGAATTACTTACATTACCTGAATTAGAAGCAACACTACATGTTGTTGAACTTTTAATTGCATTAGCACTTATATTACAAATGTCACAAGTTGTCTTATCTTGACAGGAATAACAACCATCCGCACATGACGTAGAACAACCTGTATGATCATTGTCTATCATTTTCCCTTGAGGACATTTCAAACAAATATTATTCTTTGAGAAAGAACATACTGTAAAATTTTGAATACATTTTTTTTTATCTGATTTATCATTTATGTAATTGTCTTCACAAATAAAGCATTGACTTGAATCACATGTTAGACAATTTTGCTCACAAGGAAGACAACTCCCATTGTTTATATAAAACCCAGTGTTACACCTTAAACAGTACTTACTATTAGGAGAAATAATTATACAGTTATGAACATCTGTTGATGACGCAACAATACAACTTCCATCAGAATTAAATCCATACCTACACTTCTTACACTCTATTCCAGTTGGTGTTGAATAACCAATAGTGCAAATTCCATCAGCTTCTATTAGACTTGATGAATCATTAATTCCACAAGAAGACGTATCAGCAATAATTAAATTCTGATTATTTTCACCTTTGGTATTAATCGTGTATTTACCATTAGTTTTAACTAATATTGAATTCTTATTACCAGCAATCACAATATTTGCTTGAAGAGTTAATGGCAACTCATAATTTGAAACAGTTATTGTTGTTGGGGAAACTACAAATATATTAGAATAATATTCATCATTACCAATGTTAATTGTTGGTGCTGATATATATAACGTTGATGTAACATATTGAGATTTATGTCCTGGACATGAATAATCAAAAAATGAAGATGACTCACTCTCATAATAGTATTGACTTTCATCTCTCTTATAGCATGTTTTTTTTCCATATCCCATTTTTTCACATAATCCATCATCAACAGTTCCAAATATTGCTATCTGTTTATCACACATTGTTGTCATTGAATTAGTAAATGTTACTTTTCGTTCTTTCAATGACATTAAGTAAAACGGTTCTTCTTCACCAGATGCTGAATTAATTGTTACTTTTAATTCATTTTCACTTTTATCTGTAATAATAAAGAAGCTAGATAGGTTAAATTTAATGTCAATAGAGTCAATAACTAACGTTGTCACTGAGTTGCTCAAAGTCAATGATTTTTCGGTTGTTAATTTATTAATATAAATAGATTTTATATTTGGACCAAATATAAGATTAGAAATTTTGAGGCTTAGCTTTGTTGTTGTAATAAGTTCATTAATTGTTGTTTTATATTGGTTAATAATTGTATAGTCTGTATTTGTTTGTATTGATGAGTCTACATAAATGCTATCAATTGTAATAACAGATGAAAACATAATTTTTGCATTTTGGCTGACTGTTAATTTCTTTAATTCACTTAGAACACCTATAATATTAACTTCTGATGATGTTGTGATTGAACCAATGATAAGACTATTTTCACTCTGTGTTGTGATACTAATTTTATTTGTATTTGTTTCTAGTGTTGATACATCTAATACTCCTGAATGTGTAATTGCAATAGTAGTGTCTGATTGAAGAATAAGCTTAGTACATTTTAATTTCCCAACCAGAGATATTGAACCTCCAATCTGACAATTTGAAGCCATAAGAGTTCCAGAAAATTGACCACCATCTGGTTCATAATTTATTGAGTACCAATAAGAGTCTGACTCTTTGAAAGAACCTGATTTGATTGTTAATATAATTGATTCTTTACTTAATGCATCTGCTGTTGAACTTATTTCTGAACAATCATCAACATCATATCCATCAGAATATACACAACCACATTGGATTTGAGACTCTGCTTTAACAAATCTATTAGAACTCCCACAACTTACACTTTTAATATTTTCATTGCTTGATTTTAATTCTTTACCAATAAACAACACTTTATCTGTAGTGATAGATGAATAGTCAATTCTTTCAGCTGATAATTCTTGAAAATAATGATTCCCTGTTTCAACATTTGATAATATTAAAGTTTTAAATGAGATATAACCATCTACGTGTATCGGTTGATTTGGAAGAGTTACAGAAGAGCCACTGACTTTAAGAATATTTGTTTCTGAAATGATAATCTTAAGTGGATTTGTTCTTGTCTCAAAATCTATACCATTCCACTCCAATCCATAATCGTTTAAGAAACGAATTATAGTATACTTATTAGGCACTGTTAATGTATATAATGATCCATTGTACAAACAATCAGGATAATTGATTGTTAATCTTGAAATTTGTACATCTGTTGACCCTGTTGTAATTTTACAAGATGAGTCAGGCTGTGGCTCTGTTTGTCCTTTACAAATAACATATCTTCTAAACTCCTGAATGTTTGATACTTCTTTGAGCACTCCATTTTTAATATTATCTGGAACTTTTTGTTGTCCATTAGTATTAAATGCATACCAACATCCTTCTTTATATATCTCTTCTACCCATATTTCTTTTTTCTCTTTGTCATTCTTATTTTGGTACAAATACAAGTATGGACGATCTTCCATTTTCCATGTTATATAAGTCTTAGAACATAATGTAGTGTGAAATATTGCAGGTTTATCATAAATCCAAAGATTTTCTTGAGTCACCTCATCACCAAAACAGTCCTTCCTTTCGACAATAATATATAGTAATGATTTATAGTTTTGAAGGTCAAATTGAGTGTATTTTCCTTGATCCCAAGCAGGTCTCACAAATAAATGTTTAATAGAGGCGTCTGCCTCAAAACTAAATTCTGTTGAAGCAGCTTCATTGATTAAAACACTCATGTATGGTAATCCATTTCCACAACAATCCGATTTAAATGTAAACTTGTTAGGATTTACTCGAAAATCATCATTACATTTCCATCCTTCTCCAAAGTAGACACATTTATTATCAGAATAGTCTCCATAA